CAATGCAATCCAAAAAGAACACCAATGGAGAAAGGATTTCAATATAATGAAGACAGTCAGATACTAGAAGATGTTCCATATCGTGAATTAATTGGGGGACTTATGTATTTAACTACAACAACAAGACCTGATATTGGCTACGCAATTTCTTATCTAAGTAGATTTTTGGATCGACCAACTACAGAGACATGGAATGCGGGAAAAAGAGTACTACGTTATCTACAAGGTACAAAAGACATGGCACTCACATTCCACAAGAATTCAAATACAGACATAAATTTACAGGGATATTCAGATGCAGATTGGGGAACAGACAAAAAAGATCGTAAAAGTGTCAGTGGATGCATAATACTTTATGGACAGAATCCGATATTTTGGTTTTCCAAGAAGCAAGGTTGCGTTGCGCTATCTTCAGCAGAAGCAGAATATGTGGCAGCATCAATTTCAGCTCAGGATTTGATTAATTTGAAGGGAATTTTGAAAGATTTTAACATTTCTGGCAATACAATTCTCTATTGTGATAACAAAAGTTCAATTCTGATGTCCAAAACTAATGAGAATTCAAAAAGATCCAAGCATATTGATATCAAACATCATTATTTGAAGGATTTGGTTTTGGGTAAAGAAATTAACATTCAATATGTATCAACTGATCAAAACCTAGCTGATATACTGACAAAATCTTTGGGAAAAGAAATTTTCAATTTTCTTAGAGATAAGATTTGTGTTTTGTAAATTTTCTTTGAAGTTATTATAAGCTGTCATTCAAGTACGATTTTTATGTTAAGTTTATTTGTGTTGATTTTTTGAAACATTTCAAATCGAGGAGGAGTGTTAGAGTAATATAGTGCACTGAGAGTGAAAGCCGAAAGCGCCTAGCAATAGAACATAACCTAATATAATAATGTAACCAAAATATATGCTTTTGTAACTCACGTTTAATATTTTATAATAAATTAATGATTAAAGTAATTAGTTAGAAGTTCTCTATCATCAAAGACGTAAATCAACCCCCCAGATACTGTAATAAAAAATATATCGATATTTTGTAAATATCGATATATTACTCAAATATATCGATATATTTTAATCGATATTTTACATTCGATGTATCGAAAAAAATGTCGATATAACCTTTTCGATATTATCGGAAATTTTAAGATACTTCTTGCGGAAGCAATTAACAATTCCTTTGTTACGGGAACTTTTCCTTCTTCTTTGAAGTTGGCCAAAGTTATTCCATTGTATAAAGGAGGAGACAGCGAGTCAGCCTCAAACTTTAGGCCAATTTCATTACTTCCAACCTTGTCAAAGATTGTTGAAAAACTTGTGAAGAGTCGTATGGTCAGCTACATAAATGTACATGGTTTTTTGAGTGTGGATCAGTTTGGTTTTCAGGATTCAAAGAGCACAAATGATGCTATGTTCTCTTTATTGAGAAGTGTGTATGTGGGATTGAATGATGGAGAGGTTGCGGCAGCGATATTCTGTGACCTCACCAAAGCGTTTGATTGCGTGAATCACAGAGTATTGCTCCGCAAGCTTGAAATGTATGGTTTTAGAGGCACGTCACTGGACTGGATATCGTCTTACTTGTCTGATCGCCATCAATCGGTACGCTTTAATGGTCAGGAATCCGAGTTTCAAGCTATCACATCCGGTGTTCCTCAGGGCTCGGTACTGGGCCCTTTGTTATTTTTGTTGTACATTAACGATCTCTCAAAGATGAATATATCGGGTGAATTCACGATGTTTGCTGATGATACGACGATTTTATGGCGTGATAGGAATACAAAGAACTTGGAGCTTAAGATGAATATTGATATTTTAAGAATCAAAGAATGGTTCAATTCAAATTTTTTAACCCTCAACATTTCGAAAACAAACATTGTTTCTTTCAAGTGTCACATAGGAGATGTTTTTCTAAATACCGAGGTTGTGCAAAGTTCACATATCAATAAATTTTTGGGCCTACATATTGACGATAAATTGAAATTTGAAAGCCACGTTTTTCAGTTGAATAAAAAACTTTCGGGTGGGTGCTTTGCATTGAGGACAGTTTCTCGAGAGGTAGACATGTCTATGGCAAGAAATGTATATTTTGCGCTGATTGACTCTCATTTACGGTATGGAGTCTGTTTTTGGGGATCGTGTTCTGATCACCTGTTTAACTCAGTTTTTATTCTGCAGAAGCGAGCTATTAGGTTCTTATGTAAATTAAATATCCGAGAATCCTGCAGACCTTATTTTTTGTCGCTCGGAATATTAACACTGGCATGTATATTTATATTGGAATCAGTCTGCCTTACGCATGACAAGTTCCACAATGAGATCCTGACTGCTGGGGCTTATGCAACTCGGTCATCGCACATTGCTCCTCTACCTATCCCCTTAACAACGCTAGTAAAAAAATCTGTTATCTATAATAGTAAATAGCTATTTATACAATAAGTTACGAAATGAGCGTCTTTTAGGCACGCGACGTGAAAATTGTCCAACGAGGCCAAGCCGAGTTGGACAACACGTCGAGTGACTAAAAGACATCGTTTCGTAACGTATTGTATACAAGATTTTTTCTACTGGCATTTTATAGTAAAAAAACACAATTTTATTTCATGTGAATAAGTCGATTACGCCCAAAATCTTTGTTACCTGCTTTTACTTGACACCTGACACTTTTCATGCGATTTTTTTTTCAAGATTCGACATTAATAATTAAAATCCTAAAAAGTAGGTAACAACACAAAGTTCTGTTTTGACTAACCCAAACGTTCAATTCAATAATTACATTTTTAATATTCATAATAAATACAAAACAAAATTCAAATCTATGTTTAGTGTGGTTTTTATTTCTGAAGAATGAATGACACTTTTAGGCACTAGTGCTTAAAAATTACTTTTACGCACTCAAAAGTCACTTTTACGCATTCAAATGTCACTTTTACGCACTGAGTGCCTAAAAGTAACTTTTACGCACTCAGTGCTTAAAAGAATATCGTTTTAAAACTAAAATGACAATCGAAAAGTTGCTATTATGAAACGTCAGTAGAAAAAAGCTTTTTAACCACCTGCCTTCTAATGTCCGTGAGATATGCAACAAAGAGCAATTTAGGGGGAAGGTATATAAAGAGGATACTGGTTGGGAGGGCTTACTATTCGGTTGCTGAATTTTTCAGTGATACTTTTGCTTAGTGTCTTTTCGTTTACAGTTTAGTTTGTCTTATATTTTACTCACTGACTTATTACTTTATACATGTCTAGTATTTAAGTATGTTACCTTTAATGTCTTTTAATGTGTTATTTTAATCTATGTAGTTTATTTTATAAGAGTATTTTAGCAGCACAGTCTTGTTTCATTTTATTTGATGATTTTTTTTTTTAATTTTAAGCGTGTATTTGCTACAACTTTTATTTTTAAGTTTGCTTTGATAAAGAGATGTTATAATTCTTATATCAATAAAGCTATTTTTGACTTGACTTTGACTTTGGTTCGTGCGCATATTTCATTTGTTGACTGTATAAAACAAACGTCAGTTAGGGCGTGTACGTACCAACTGAAAGAGGTAAAGAGACTTTCCGAATGATTAGGATAGTAGCGGCTAAAATAAAACAAACGTCAGTAAGGGCGTGAATGTACCAACTGAATGAGGTAAAGAGACTTTCCGAATGATTAGGGAACGTTATTTTTCTACGATCGTGCGGAAAAGTACTTTTTCTACTGACGTTTCATAATAACAACTTTTCGATTGTCATTTTAGTTTCAAAACGACATTCTTTTAAGCACTGAGTGCGTGAAAGTTACTTTTAGGCACTCAGTGCGTAAAAGTGACTTTTGAATGCGTAAAAGTGACTTTTAGGTGCGTAAAAGTGATTTTTAAGCACTAGTGCCTAAAAGTGTCATTCATTGTTCAGAAATAAAAAAACACACTAAACACAGATTTGAATTTTGATCTGTATTTATTATGAATATTAAAAATTAAATTATTGAATTGAACGTTTGGGCTACTCAAAACAGAACTTTTTGTTGTTACCTACTTTCCAGGATTTTAATTATTGATGTCGAATCTTGAAAAAAAAATCGCATCAGGTGTCAAGCAAAAGCAGGTAACAAAGATTTTGGGCTTGATCGGCTTATTCACATGAAATAAAATTGTGTTTTTTTATTATAAAAGGCCAGTAGAAAAAATCTTGTATGCAATACGTTACGAAACGATGTCTTTTAGTCACTCGACGTGTTGTCCAACTCGGCTTTGCCTCGTTGGACAATTTTCACGTCGCGTGCCTAAAAGACGCTCATTTCGTAACTTATTGTATAAATAGCTATTTCCGCACGCATTTCAGGACATGAAAGTATCAGGGAGACCTAAGATTGCATAATTTCTTTACTTTTCCACACCAATGCAGAAAAGTGATATTCTCATGGCCTAAAATACGTGCAGAAAAAAAGCAGTTTTTGCACGCTCGTAGAAAAAAATAGAAAAATAAAATATATATCGATATATTCAAAATATCGATGTTTTTTGTTCGATATATCGAATGTATTGATATGTTATTTCGATATATCATATGATTCGATATATCGATATATTTTTTTATATTGCCATCCCTAGCTTTGACGCCTCGCTGAGGCGCTAGCAGTAGGGATAAGTTGTATTCGTTTCAAGAGTTTGAAACACTCGAGCTACTCGCTCCGGTGTTTAGTAGCCCCCGATTTGCAGGGAACAGATGCGTGGTGCAACAAACACTTTTCGAAAGGAATAAACGCGTGAAGCCCGGAGCTGTTCCGGAGCTCCTCCTAGGTGTGAAAGGAATACAACTATTGACGACCACGAGGCTTGACGCCCCGATTAAAAGAACGATTGACACATTTCAAAATCGTGATCCATGATGCCCTGGGGCGCCCAAGCCCGTGAAGAGAAAGCAGCTCAGGCTGATTTCGAACGCACTCGTATAGATTTCATGTCAAATTAAAATGTCATTTCTTTATTTATTTGTCAAACGTCAACGTCAACTTACTTTTTTTTCGAGTTCGATTTTTCAAGATTTCAAGGGAGGTCTTTCTTGTTGTTTTTGAAAATTTGTATCAAAAATGTCGATTTTAGCGAGCCCCTTATCTGTGGCGGGTCAGAGAACATCCGGGGCCCCAGTCCGAACCCAAAACGGTAAGTTTATTGCAATATTTTTGTTTGAATCTTTCCGGAATGGTGAAATTTCTAACCTCAAATATTGATATCATGTGCTTGGGGCTTGGACTTTTCTTTCCCGAAGAAAACCCTAATAAGTAATTTTTTGGACATTTCAACGAATCATGGATATTTTCAGCTCAAATAAAGTTTTAGAAGTAATGGGCTTGCGCTAGATCTCTAAATACTACTTTATAATAGGGATTGTTCTAGCAGTTGGCTCGGCAGTTGGACACCACTATGCCCACAAATTTCAATTTCAAGGATTTTTTAGGGCGTTGCATTGGAGGCTTTGATTTTTGCCCATTTGTTTGTTACTTTTATAAATTTTAGCGAATTAAATACTCTACACATCTGTAGTTAACAGTTTGAAAGCAGCTTCAATATTTTCGCAGCTGCGAAGCTATCTGACTTATTACAATGGAATCTGACTCATTACATATTTATTAGGCCCTCCCTCTTCAAAGTCTTCTGACTTGGATCTTATCAATTTGAGCAAGCAGAAACAAGTAAAGGTATAGTTAGTTTTTCACTCTTTTCTCTCTATCCATTTGCAAAATATTAATCCAATTACTTAAACATTTTCCTCATAATCCTCTTTTTTCCATCTCAGTTTTTTGGAAAAATGACATCAACACATTAGCTTTTACCAGCACATCTGTATTCCACAGGGATCCAAACTAATATATGTCTGCTTTTATTTTCGGTTGCATTCAACAAGGGTTGTCAGGGGTGAAGAATCAGTTGAATCACTTGGTTTTACTGACAATTTCAAGTTGTTTTAGGTAGTTTCATCAATTATGGACTGTGCAGTGTGTAGTACTCCAGAGTGAACTCTCTGATGTAGTTGTATTGTGTTCTGAAAGTAGTTTTGATTTGAACTGGGATACTTAAATGTGAATGTATGTCATTCAACTGTGGTAAAAATCCTGTCGTTTATGATTATTTTATAGGCAATGAAAAACTTGAAAGAGTGTCTGAGCAGAAAATATTGGGAGCTAGTTTTGATTCTGTTTTGTTTTTCTCACAGCATATTTTGTCAAACATTTCTATAATTTATTTTTTCCCAAGATAGATTTTGACATTGTCAACTTTGAAACATAAACAATGTCACCTATTGGTCGCAAAATGCCATTTGCACGACATGCATTGTCAACCTGCAGGAACACCTCATTTTGCTACCAATCAGAGCCAAGCGGTATTGTTTATGTTTCAAAGTTTTCAATGTCAAAATCTATCTTGGGAAAAAAGGAACCATAGTGAAAGTATCAGGTTTCTAATAAAAACCAATACTTTCTGAGAAGAAACACAAAAAAGTTGAGTATTAACCGAGGGGAGGGTCATTCACCAGAATTTGTACACCTATTTATAAATACAAATAAATATGTAAGTATTTGCTGTATTTAAACGTATTTACTTCTTAAATTTTATTTGAAAGTATTTGAAAATATTTAAAGTTACTTAAATGTATTTAAACATATTTATTTATATTTAAATGTATTAATTCATATTTTTATGTAGTTAAATTTAAATGTATTTAAATATATTTATCTATATTTATATGTATTTATTGTAATTTATAAGTACCAAAAATTACCAGTGCTATGGAAAATACATCTTACAATACTATGTTTTTCTTAATTATTTTGAAGTTCTTATCTATGAGCAGTTTATCAGCTCTTCTTAGCTGAAAAGGGTAATTTCCTACAAGGTCCATAAATTACAAATTTCTTATCCAAGGAAGGACTGTATATCTCTCGGTATATCTTGATTGGTTATAAGGGCTTTATAGCTGAAACTCTACTGATTTTGGAAAAAAAGTTATGACTTTTCAAAGTTTTCCAAAATCTAAATCATAAGCTACCCTTCTTATTAAAACGATAAAATTTCAAATTTTTTTTTGTTGAGATTTTGTGTCTTTATGGTCCTTTGGGATCCCCCGAACTCCATACACTGAATTATTCTGAGATTTGGAGATAGATTCTATGAAAAAAGGGAATCAGAAAAATTGAAAAATTATTCACCCCAAATTGCTTAACATGATTTTATCTCAGGAACTATGAGTCCAAATGAGCTGAAATTTTGAGGGATTCTAGTCTTCTACTGGGATAAAAATCGCTGAAAATATCAGCTTCCTATCTTTAACATATTAGGTTAACCAGCTGACGGCTAGGTTGTTTACATTTGGAAATTGAGTAAAATTCCGAAAAATCTTGGTCATTATATATCTAAAATTGTTAATTCTGATAAATAGCAGCACGATTGTTACCGTTTTAGTATATTTTGCAAGTATTTTCTGCTTGAAATGTTTATTTCTGCAAGAAATCAAATGTGAGGTTATGTTATGGACGAGAAAATTTGCAAACATTGTAAAAAAGGCGTAAAAACCTCGCTTGACTGTGAAAACTGTTGCTCGGCGTTCCATCCCAGCTGTGCAAGACAAGCTAAGGCTACTTACCTCCAGGAAAACCAACAGGAAAGTGTTAACTGTTGTCAACCGAAAATGGCCAATAACTTAGATGAAAAGAAAATTAGAGCAATCTTCAAGGATTTATTAACTGAGTTCCTAGGCCCCTTCAAGAAAGGGATCGAGAAGGACATGGCTGAGATCAAGAAATCTTCTCAAACGGTCGCTGAGTGTATCAAAGAACAAAAAAAGGCAATCCAGAGCTTAGCAACTGATGTGAAACAGCTACGTGAAGATAATACTTCATTGAATACAGAAGTGGAGGCTCTTAAGTTGAGAATGAGTACTTATCAAGCAAATGTGCAATCCCCAACCCAAGATATAGAGTATCTCACAAGTGAGGTTAACGAGCATGCTAGAAGAGCCAATAATATTATAATTTTCAATATTCCGCAGTCTAAATCCGCAGTTCTTCAGGAACGAATTGAAGATGACAGTAAGCATGTCCAGAATCTTCTGTCATCTTTGGGTTTAGCTGAGGAAAATCAAAAAATATTGAAGATGGTGCGTATTGGCAGATTGGCAGATGATAAAATAAGGCCTCTAAAAGTTGTCTTTACCTGTCCAGATGTTGTGTACAGCATCCTCAAAAATGGCAACAAGCTTGGTTCGACCAAGATCAGGATTTGACAAAATTGCAACAGGAGACTCATAAGAAGATTAGGGATGAATACCAGGATCGTGTAAAAAAAGGCGAATCAGTCGCTCTGAAATACAGAAATGGGTTTCCTATTATTGAAATTAAAGCCCAAACAACTGGTACTGGACCTGATCCAAAAAACACCCCTGTACCCCATTAACTGTATTCTATATGAACACAGGTCTTCGCACAAAGATTGAAGACCTCACTAATATGTTGAACTGTTCGGATTACGATATATTGGCAATAATAGAAAGTAATCTCTGTGATAGTATTACTGATTGTGAAATACAATGTGATAAATATAATAGCTTCCGTTTTGATAGATCTAGTGAAACCAGCATGAAAAGTAGGGGTGGGGGAGTCCTCATATATGCTAGAAAATACTTATCAGCATCCATTGTACCAGTGGGCCAAAATAAAATTGAACAGCTGTTTATTGTGTTTAATATTGGGTCAGAATGTTTTATAATTGGCGGCGTATATATTCCTCCCAATCAACATAATGACATCTATGATATGTACTGCAGGTCTGTCCAACCTATATTACAGCGCTATCCAAACAGTAAATTACTGCTCTTTGGTGACTATAACTTACCCGAGGCAGTGTGGGTGAATGATGATTATGGTGTTAATGTGGAGTGCCCTGCAAATTCAAATGCACTGACTGTTGCTGCATCTTTTGGGTTTTTGAAGCTGTTCCAGGTGAATAGTATTCCAAATGACAGAGGTGTTTTCTTGGACCTGGCTTTTACTAATATTGGTAATTTAGTGGTTAATAAGGCAAGTGATCCGATATTTGATAATAGACCCTGAGATAGGGCCTGTTTAGTGGAGTCATTTTTTTTTGTCTGGCATTTTGAGGGATGAATGTGACTAGTTAGCTGATGAGAATATAGGTGGTTTTAATGCCTGCCTCCTGTTCGAAATGTCCACAGAATGTTTCGCCGGAAAACTCGATTTCGAACTGTGATTACCGTCTAGCGATTTTTCAGCGTTATTTTCACAACAAAACCTTTCATTCTCTCGATTGCCAGACAAAAAGCAAATGTGAAAGGTTCTTTTCTTTTCTCTTGGAAGTTGACACCCATCCTCATTTTTTCAGCTATTGAAAAGCATCTGATATTTTTCATGGGTGAATTATTTATCAATATCAATCTTTTATTTGAAAGCCAGAAAATTGGAGACCATTAAAAAAAAAATCTTCATGTGTATAATGTTTTTTTTTCCCCTTTTACAGCTTTGTCAACGAGAATTTTCTTCTGCAAATTTTCGAACGGGAGGCCGGCATTAAAATCACCCATATTCTTATCAGCTTAGGAGCCACATTCAGCCCTCAAAATGCCAGACAAAAAAAAATGACTCCACTAAACAGCCCCTATCTCACAGTCTATAACAGTTATCACCACATTTCTTATGACTGTAAGGTTATGACTAAGGAAGCTCCTGATAAAAAGTTAGTTGTTGATAATTTCTACTATGATTTCAAAAATTGTAATTATGTAGGTTTGAACAATTTTTTAGCTTCTATACAATGGGTAGAAATTTTAGCAAACAAAAATATTAATAGGGCAACTTCTATCTTTTATGAGATCATTAATGAGGCCGTTGTAAATTACGTACCTTTAAAAAAATCAAAAACTAATACCTTTCCAAAATGGTTCTCACCTGAGCTTAAACAACTGACATTTAGGAAGAGAAATGCCCACAAAAAATATATGAATGATATGACTGATGTTAACTATCAAGAGTTCTCTCTTCTTAGGTCTCAGTGCAGGTTGCTCTCTAAGCAAATGAGAACCCAGTACATGGGAGTTGTAAATGACAGCTGTAAGGCAAGCCCTAAATATTTTTGGAAATTTACTAGAGACC